AAAAAAAAAAAAAAAAACCTCTTCCCCTTGCCCTTCCTGGTTAAAAGAAAATAGGGTTGATAGAGCATCCGCACCCTGATTGCTGGGTGGGGCATGGCCTCCAAACTGTACGTGGGACCAGAAAAAAGTCGGTATATATAAATAGACAAGTCCGGTTGCTAGAGTGGATCATTTGTGTACGTGCTCACACATATGGTATATATTTACATACCTACACAATTGCACGCGCACATATACACACAATGGTAAGATCATAATGATTCGAATCTTAAAAATCCAGTGAGAAAAGGCTTACTTCCTTCACCAAGCTGAATGGCAGCATTCATAAATTTGTTATGGAGTTCTTGAGTCCATTCTATCGAAACATTTCTAATTCTAGCTTTTTTGCTTGATTTGTCCCCATTTTCAACGTCGTCTTTGTCATCACTCATAACATTTTCCATTTGAATTTCTTCTTCAGTCGCAAAGCCATAGCACATTGTGTTGTAAGCCACCATCTCTCGAAGTTGTTCTTTTTCTTTAGTTTTCCATGTCTTCTCCCTCCACACATGTTGCCATAGATACATTACATTCTCCATTTTAACTGGTTTTTTGAGAAAAAGAAAGGCCCCTTCTTCTAAAGCACTACTTGCCATCATATCATCATCGTTATCGCACATCACTTAAATAAAAACAAAGTCAGTATAATCAATAATGTAGCCGTGGATTTTACAGTAATGAAAATTAAGGAAAAATTTATACTTTCAAAAGGACAAATATAAACAGTAACACTCACAAATCACTAGCAAATCCATTTTATATGCTTCTTGGAGAAGCTTGAAAGTGCATGAGTCCGGTGAGTTGATATTTGCCATCACAATATTAAACTGAACCTTCCCATTTGATAACATCGATAAAGCAGTCGAGGCATATTCAACACATTTCACTACAAAACAAACAATTTAAGTGAGAAGTAATTAAAATCGTTATGAGATGTCCAAGAAACATTTACTTCTATCCAATTTTATAATTTGTGTTTTCAGTTTACAACATAAAGAAATCATTTGTATTTGTACAATTAAAGAACACGGAAAATATGTATGACTTAGAAAATCATGTATTACCTATTTGTCTACTTTCGAAAAGGTATGCTTTGACATTAACCACGTGAATATTTAAATACACAATATGGCGCGAAACGATGATTTATAGCCTTTATATTAACAATAAAATATTAATAAAAATCGATTTATAGTCGATGTACTCGACCTATTTCAACTTAGTCCTCTCAAAAACACATGTCAATCAAGATGAAGATGTTTTTTAAGAAAAACAATCTGATTGTAGGAGCAAAACATAATGCAAGAATAATCAAGGTCAGTTCAAAGAAAAAATCAAATCCTGATTGTTCATCTATCATATATATATATACTTGTAATGATTTAAACTTAAAAGTTGAAATGAAATTTAATCTTTAAAATCTTTTACCTTTATATGAAAAGAATTCCAACATTTGCTTTGCTGAAATAAGATGATTAGTGTCATGTTCAACTAGCAAAACATTGACTTCTGGTATCATGTTTGAATATGAAGCCATGGAAGTGCTTCAATTAAGCTTCCAAACTCCAATAACAAATGTTTCGACAACGAAAATGACAGTCTTAAGAGTGCTTGATGGAAATAGATATGGAAAAAGAAAGAGTAAAAATCTCTTGAAAAGTTAACATTGAAAGCGTTTAATATGAAAGCACATATGTGAAACACATCCAAAACACTTGTATTTATATAATTTTTTTTGTGGGGTGTGTTACGTTGACTTCTAATGTAAATAGTATCCAATAAAAATTAATTTTATCACCAAATGAATGCTTTTTCAACTTTTAATTGTCTCTTTTCACTTTTGGTAGGTGAGTTTAACTTGTAACGTTTTTGCATTAAAATCTAGCCTTTGCATCTCTCTGTAGTGGGCCCTTGTCGAGTTAACCAAATGTATGCCAAGTTCATGGATTATAGTAAGTAGTTAATAATGCATGGTCAATTGTTGAGGTAACTTATTACATCATCACATGTTATGTTCCTTGGCAATAGGAACCTTGTGTTTTTATAATTCACTTAATATGTTACATAAGTGATTCTTATACTTTATTTTAAATAAACAAGTTTAGAATAAACTTGAAAAATCATTTGCTACCAACATCTGCTTCTTTAGCATAATCGACATAGGTACTATAAACATATATATATGAATATACATAGACGTTAAGGAAGCATTCAATATATTGTCAGTGTAATAATTATCTTTTCAATATAACTGCATTTTTTTCGGATTACAGATGAATCTTTTTCCTTTTTGTTTCATTCTCAACTCCTAAAATTTTTTTATCCTCGGTCAAAAGTTGGTGCTAGAATCATAATCGAAAGGAGAAACATTAATTTGTTCATATATGTAGCGGAAGTCTCGATCACCAAAGGTGTTTTCCGGGCTCAGTATCAACTCCAACAATCAAACACCTCAACCAAGTCGAGACAAAAATCGAACCAAAACTCCGATTGCTTAATTATACCCACTTAAGACACACAATAAGGTTGTTATTGCAGCTACACAGGCCAAGAAAGAAGATGAAGAAGGCATAGTGAAGGTAAGCACAAAGCCGACACCAATTTCACCGAGGGAGGAAGAATAGCAATAATACACTCACAGTCACGGCAAAGGGAAGGCAGCATACATATAGAAGTGGAAATTACATCATACACATACTTTTTATAAATTATTCATTTTATACTACTATTTTTTTAATACCAAATATACTACATTTTATGCAGTAAAAGTAAATATTACATAATTGCCTCTCTATCAATTTCACGATTTGAGGCCATCAATTGATCCCCCAAACATGCCCCCAGCTGCACCCCTATTATTGCCAAAATTAATCCCCAAATAAATGGCTCTCTCTTTGAACACAAAATAAAGAATCCCCCAATATTTGAAAAGTTTCACCAATACACCACAATCATCTCTATCTTCAAATGAAGCGAACCTTGTTTTACATCATATATTTCGTGAATGAATCGATTTATCCACTCATGCGATTTCACAAATCCTTAATTTCTTCCACCCCCCCCCCCCCCCCACCCCAAAACCTGTGTTGAAATATCCGATTTAAGTGACCATTGTCTTATAAAATCTTAAGATTCTATCAAATTCATACTGGGAATCCATCGATTTGGAGCTTTTCATTGCTTATATAAACCCTAATAGCTCATACTAGTATTTCACAAACTTGAGGCCGTGAGAGAGGGTAAATATACTATCTTTGTTCATATATCTATAATCCATTGATATTGGAAGATGTCATCGGCAAATCGCAACTCAAAATTGGGTTAACGCAAGAACAAACAATCGATCAAAGGAGCACCACATCTTGCTAATCAGTCCCGTCTTTTGTTAATGGGATCAGATAAGAACGGAAAAGGAAAATGAAGGGAATTTGTCACGACCGGAACTCCAGCTACAACTTCACAACCACCGTAACACAAAAATTGGATAATTCCAGCTGGGTTAGCTGGATATGAAACAAATCAAAATAGAATGGGGAATGAGATAACATAAAAATGCATCAACTTCACAACCACCGTAACACAGAAATTGGATAATTCCAGCTGGGTTAGCTGGATATGAAACCAATCAAAATAGAATGGGGAATGAGATAACATAAAAATGCAGAAGAAATAGATGAGAAAGCTGTTGAAGAGATTCAACAAATTCACTGAACTTTTCAGATTGCAAAAACTAAATTTCCAAAACCCTTTACACGATATTTATCTGCTTCCCTGTACATCTACAGTGAAGAAGCGTGATTTTAAAACATAAAACAGTTTTACAATTAAAACTTAACCAAGTCTCCAAAACGCTATCCCATCCCATTTTGAGTATCAGTTATTTCAATTGGCTGCCTCTTCCTAGTTTTCTTCCTGTGTGATCTGGTCCCTTTTCTTTCGCATTGATTTTCCACTTGACAACCCTCTCTCTCACCTTGATTTTGTCCCCAAGATCTACAAGAAGGAAACTGAGCTTTAATCCACTCTGCATCTTCCCAGGTTGCACATTCTGGTGAAAGGTCAATCCACTGAATTAGCATTTGTACAGCTGAACGGTTTCTTCTTAGGACCAGCCTGGTTTGCAAGATGGTTAAGAGTTGTTGTACAAGATGAACAGCTTGAGGTTCAGCTGGTAATTATGATACGACATCGCTTTGTCTCCCGACTTCTTCTTCAAAAGAGAAACATGGAAAATCGAATGAATCTTGGACCCTGCAGGTAATGACAATTGATAAGCCACTGTCCCAACCTTCTTACTAACTTGATATGGCCCGAAGTATCTTGCATCCAACTTCTGATTTAGCCTATTTTCTACTGAATGTTGTCTGTAGGGGTGAAGCTTTAGGAATACCCAGTCACCTTCAGTAAAAGATCTTTCAGTTCTATTTCTATCTGCATACATTTTCATCCTAGCAATTGCCTGTGAAAGGTTTTCCTTTAACTGTTGGTTGAGTTTGTATCTTTGCTGTAACAGGTCCTCTACCGCTGCCATAATAGATTGTTGGTAAGTACCCAGCGCCAAGTGTGGTTGTTTGATCCCATATAGAGCTTCAAATGGTGTCATTCTAATAAAAGAATGGTAGGTGGTATTGTACCACCATTCAGCTAGTGATAGTCATTTTTCCCATTGTTTAGGTTGTTGGTAAGTCATACATCTGAGGTACATTTCAAGGCATTGGTTGAGCCTTTCTGTCTACCCATCTGATTAGGGATGATCGGCCATGCTAATGTGAAGTTGTGTACCCAGAGACCTGCCAAAATCTGCTTGTGAATACTTTATCTCTATCAAATATAATGCTTCGTGGGAAGCCATGAAGTTTAAAAATCGAATCCAGGAACGTCTTTGCCACCGTTACTATTTTAAATGGGTGTGAGAGGGCTAAAAAATGGTCGTACTTAATAAATCTATCCACAATCACCATTATAGTATCCTTGCCCCCTAAGTTAGGTAACCCCTAAATGAAATCCAAACTAATATGGCTCCAAACATGCAAAGGAACAGGTAAGGGTTACAGTAGACCAAGGTATAGAACATTTTCACCTTTACATTTCTGGCACACCTCACATTGTAACACCTCAGTCTTTACCTCCTAATTCATTCATAACCAATAAAAATGTTGTTTTGCCCTGTGTATGTTGTTATGTATGCCTGAGTTTCCTCCTAAGTGGGATCCATGTATGTTTTGCATGATTTTGGATCTAATTTTTCGTCATGTACCAATGTACATTCTGTATTTATATATCAGTATATTATTGTTGTAACTGAAGTTGGGATTAGAATCTGGGTTTAGTAATAAGGCTTGGATCTTATCTTTAGCAAACACATCATCAGTATAGATGTTTGTGACTTCCTGTACCCATGCAGGAGTTATAATAGGAAGCCATGTACTTTCTGACTTTCTTCATGTCTCCTAGATAAGGCTTCCGCCACCAAATTATCGGCCCCCATTTTATATAAAATTTCATAATCAAGTCCCAATAGTTTGGTGAGCCATTTTTGCTACAAAGGCGTGGTGATCCTCTGTTCCAACAAATATTTTAGAGACTGAGCCTCTGTTTAGTATCCATTCTTTTTTTCATTTTCATTCTTCTACTAATTTTCAACCACACATTCATCAATAAAATAATATTTTCCATCACATCAATAACTTTTCCTTCATTTTCAACCACAAAAAAAAGTGTGATTTGACACAAAGAATACATTTTTTTCTAGAATAATGGTTACCAAACGGTGCCTGATGGTCAGTTCTAATAATGAAATGATGACCCTCCAAGTAATGCCTCCATTTTCCAACCAATGTGACTAGGGTTAAGAGTTCTTTCTCATAGATAGACATTCTCATGTTCCTCATTCCAATTGCTTTGATCAAGTATGCTAGGGGTTTCTTATCCTGCATTAGTACAGCCCATATTCCCCTCTGACTGGCATCAGTTTCAATAATGAAATCCTTCTGAAAATCAGGTAGTGCTAGTACAAGGGTTGAATCATTGCTTATTTGAGTTGTTTAAATGCTAGATCAGATGTCTCTGTCCACCGAAAGCTATCTTTCCTCAGCAAATCAGTCAAAGGCTTTGCAATCATTCTATACCCTTTAACAAAGTTTCTGTAGTATCCAGTTAGCCATAAGAATCCCCTCAGTTGTTTGATGTTCATGGGCTTTGGCTTGTACACCATTGATTCCACCTTACTTGGACCAGCTGATACTCCCTGATGATTAATTATGTGGCCTAAGTATTCCACCTGTGGCTGGCCAAAACTGCACTTGGTCTCCTTAGCAAAAAGTTTGTGCTTCTGTAGCATCTCCATTACTGTGGTTAGATGGTGACAATGTGACCCCAAATCAGGACAATACACCAATATATCATCAAAAAATACAAGTAAGTATTTCCTTAATTGACTCTTGAACACCTCATTCATCAAACTCTGAAAAGTTGTTCAGGCATTGGTAAGCCCAAATGGCATAACCTTGAACTCATAAAGACATTGGTGTGTCTTGAAGGCAGTTTTATGAATGTCCCTTTCAGTGACTCGAATTTGATGATAACCAGCCCTGCGGTCTATCTTGAAAAGTACTTGGATCCATGAAGTTCGTCCAAGAGGTCATCAATGAGGGGCATTGGGAACTTATCCTTGACTATTAGGCTGTTTCGTTGTTTGTAGTCTACACAAAACCTCCACGATCCATCTTTTTTTTTTAACCAATAGGACTGGGGAAGCAAATGGGCTATTGCTGGTTTGGATTATACCACTCTCTAACATTTCCTGTACCAACTTTCTATCTCTGTTTTCTGAATAAAAGAACACCTATAAGGCCTGACTTTGAATGGTTATGCTCCTTCTTTCAAGGGAATGTAATGGTCATGTGACTTGGAGGTGGTAGTTCATTTGTCTCTTCAAACACCTGGACAAATTGATGCACTAGCTCTAACACTCTGCCAGGTATGTTTTCCACTTGTTCCTCCTTGATAGTACATAGTTGTCCCATTATTCCATAAGAGTCTCTGGTAAGCATTCTTGTCATCTTTTCTGTCCCTATCATCTTGGCAGGCTGTTTGGGACTTACTCTCTTCAAGTTAATTTCCCTTTTGAAGAATTTGAACCTGACACACCCTTGTTCAAAGTCAAAGGTGATTGGACCAAATTGGCTCATCTAATCTACCCCTAAGACCATGTCACTCCTAGCCAACTTGATGGTCCTAAGCCTGTATTGAAATTCCCAGCCCTGTACCTTCCAAACTACAAGTTGACACACAGCCCTACTTTCCAGTTTGTCACATTGCCACCCTAACTATCATCTTGTTTGCTTCATCAGTGACATAATTTAGTTCTTTGATCAGTTTTTCATCCAGATTACTATTGGTGCTTCCACTATCAATTAGGATTGATACTTTCCTTCCCTCAATTACCCCAGGAACTCTAATGGTTCTGTGTTTCAAGTTCCCCACCAAAGCATTGACTGATATTTCCATCACTCCTTCATTTTCTTGTTCTTCTTCAGATTCTGGTTTATTTCCTTCATTAGGTTCACCATCCTCATCCTCATCCACCAATAAGAAGTTTATGGATCAGTTTTTACAAACATGGCCTAAGGTATACTTTTCATCACATTTATAGCATTGACCCCAATTTCCTTTTGGTTTGGAAGTCTGTTAGGGTAATGGTTTTATAGTTGCTGGATATTCTATTAGGTTTGGTAGTTGTCTCGGTGGGTTTTACTTCATCGGGAGGTTTAGTAGGGTGAGAGCTCCATCTGTTTGTACTAGGCACAAAACTTTTGGGCTTTTGGAACTTGTTGATGGCCAAAATAGTATAATCTTGGAGGCTTGCAACTTCAAAAGCTTTGGCTAAGGTATCGGGCTTCATCATCTAAACCATAGACCTTATTTTCCCCTTCAGCCCACTTGCGAAAATAGATATGTAGTAGGATTCAGGAACATGGGGTAAGATTAGTATCACACGTGCTTCCAACTCTTCAAATTTCTCTTGGTATTCAACTATAGACCCCACCTGCCTTATCTTGCTGAAGGTTTCAATCACTTCCTTCCCTGAGTTGTCTACAAATCTCCTACACAATTCCTCTAAAAATACACCCCAGTCTGCATTAGGGTGGTTTGCCATAAAACCATCAAACCAAATGTCTCGCTTCCCCTTCAAATACATTTCAGCAATTCCCAACTTCAATCCATCAGAGGTTTGGTGGAGCTGGAAGTATTTATTTCCTAGCCTTCCTCAACCACTCTCTGGGACCTTCTCCCCCAAAGTGAGGAAAATCGATTTTTGGTAACTTGGTGCCTCCCATGCAGTCGCCCCTAACATGGTTACCCACATCTTAGCAACTAGGTCCTTGCAGTGTCAACCCACTACCAGATTTTTGGCTAGACATTGATCCATCCACTCCTCTGTTCTTCTGTTCAGCCCTCAAATCACATCTTATTTGTGCCAACCATCTTTTCATACTTTTGGTTCATATCCAATACGGGGCCCTCTTCTCATGTTTGTGGCCAAACATTTGGAAAGTTTGATCTGTGGCCTCTAATTTTCCTTCCAATCTGTTAGTGACAGCCTTGAAGGTTGCACCCAAATCTATCATTTCCAAGTCCAACTTCTTCAAGTGTTCATCCTTTACTTTAGCTCTCGCGTCCATGATTACTTATTACCCAGACTAATATGTCTGCTTTGATACCAGTTTGTCACTCAGAACTCCACCTGCAACTTCACAACCACCGTAACACAGAAATGGGATAATTCCAGCTGGGTTAGTTGAATATGAAACCAATCAAAATAGAAAATAGAATGGGGAATGGGAATAACGTAAAAATGAAGAAGAAAGAGATGAGAAAGCCGTTAAAGAGATTCAACAAATTCACTGAACTTTTCAGATTGCAAAAACTAAATTTCTAAAACCCTTTTCATGGTATTTATCCGCTTCCCTCTACATCTACAGTGAAGAAGCGTGATTTTAAAACATAACGATTTTACAATTAAAACTTAACTAAGTTTCCAAAACGCTGTCGCATCCCATTTCAAGCATCAGTTATTTCAATTGGCTGCCTCTTCCCCGTTTTCTTCCTGTGTGATTTGGTCCATTTTCTTCCCCATTGATTTCCCACTTGATAGAATAGTCATTGCGTAGGATCGAATCAATCTAATTTCCTTTTTTTTTTTTTTTACTCTTGAGAAGTAGTGGACCGTAAGGGATTACCAACTCTAAATAATTTCACCTTAATGTAGTGGGGAGTTGTTTTTATTTTGGCATGTTTGGACGACACATTGATCCCATTTTGTGAAGATTCTACTATGATGTCTTATATCAGTTATAATCATATTTGGCGTAAAATAAAATCATTATTTTATATTGTCGTGTTAGAATCAATAAACATGCGACCGATTCAGTGTAACTTTATACTTGTACGAGTATATTATTAATTGATCAAGCAGGTTCAAATAAACTTACTGTGATTGTTGCTAATGATAGACTAATGCATGCTTATTTGTATAGACCGAATCATCATGTGCATTTATCTATGTGATAGTTGATCATCTTAAAAATAAGCATTGACGCATGAGCTCGTGAGGCACAAGTCTAGGCGGACATGCATGGGCCATAACCAGTGGTGAACCCAGGGTTAAAATTCAGCTAGGGCGGAAGGACCTTTATTATTGACCGTTGAGGTATTGACTGTCGACAATCAACGATCGTAATAGTAATGTCGTTTATTAATATTTAACTAAACCTTAAAATCTCACTCCACTACTGCACAAATAATTTGAAATGACATAGTGATGGCATACCATTTCATAATGCATTTCTTTACTTACAAATGCTGAGTTAAATAATACATTCTGAATTTTGAGAATAGTATGACGTCTGCATTTATTCACTCAAACATGAAATAAAAAAAGAAGGAAAAGTTCAAAGGATGAACGGGAACTAGTTACTAGCATTTCCTTGTGTGATGTTTTGCTACAATTCATAAATTAACCAAAGTTAAAGCATTCCATGATCACAAAGGCAAAAATTCCCATAAAAGCTAAAAATGCACCAAATATTCTTTGATATCAAATATCAGAAAAGCTAGAAGCAATCCCCAAACCAAAAAAGTTCCGTTATGATCTAAACCCACTACACTTATTAGTCCCAAAAATCAAAATTACCCAAATCCTAAAATATAAAAGTAAAAAAAATCAGATCAAGACAAGGAAAATAATTTTTACGACAAACACAACATATCAAAACAGAGCACAAATTCCAAATTTCTAAAGCCAACAAAAAAAAAATGTAATAGAACAATGAATGAGACTCACTGTCCAGTGTCCACTGATGTCCGCAGCTTATGAGTCAAGAGGTTCATCCGTCTGACATCCGGCCTAGTAACCGAGTTCCGATTCTGGCTTTCTGTAATTCTGCTCACAGCCCCTTTTCGTTGGAATAACTCATATGAATAAATTGATGATAGTAATGGATCAATTGAATTTGGATTGGGCTGATTATTTTAAAAAAGGGCCACGGCATTTTAAGCCCAAACTTACAAAAAAACAAAAGAAGAGAAAACCAGAAAAAGTTGGGGTTGTCTTCTTCGTTCTTCCTCTTCCAGTCTTCCTTCCGGTGACCAGTGACCACTGTTTTGACGGAGCCCAGCAGGCGCGACTGCGCCCCCTCACCGAGTGCTAAGTTCATCGCTAGCCATAACCCTACTGAATCTTGGTGAGCTAACCCTGTGGGCTATAGAACTGCTAAATCCCATTGTCATCTCTAAGTTGTGAACATTTATACTTCTTTCACATTTACCACTTGTCTTCTAATTTTAGTCATCGTTAATAACAATTTATTTGGTCTCTATTTTCTAAAATTCAATTTTTTCTCAAACTCATATTAATCATATATTTCACAAGACTCGCAACTTTTATTAACTTTTTAATCACTCATTTTATCAACAATTATCAAAATTTACTAAAAATATAATTTTTAACTAAATCAAATAGAGGCAAAATTTAAGCCTATGTTTGTCTACCATTAATTAGAAAATGAGTTTTTGAACATTGAAATTTTGGAAAATTGGTTGTTAAAATATAGAAAAAAAATTAAGTGGGGATTAAAATTAAATTTTTAGTAGATTGTGATAGAAGTTTTTAAAATGTATGGTTAAAAATTTGTGGACGATAAAAAATGTGATTAATATTGATTCTTTGAGTTTCACTTAAATTAAAATTTGATTTTATTCCTAAACAAATTTTCGTGTAAAATATCGTGATGGACACTCCCCTTTCTCTTTAAATGTTAATTTTATAAGACTAGCGTGATAGTATGATTTTCATTTCCTCCGAAGGCACAGACTTTTGGAATCTGTAAAAATGGATTTCTGGCAAAGAGCTCGGAGCTTCGCCGAGGAAGCCGCGAAGCGATCACAGGAGCTGACTCAGGGAATCGGCTCCACCAATTTCTCCGACGTAGTAACGGAGGCGTCGAAGCGGTCCAAGGAATTGGCCGCCGAGGTGTCGATCAAGTCCAAGGAAATTGCTGTTGAGGCATCAAAGAAGTCGAAGGAGATCGCGGCTGAAGCGTCGAAGAAGTCGAAGGAGATTGCCGATCAGATCAAGTTTCAGATTCCGCCGGTCGCCGTCTCCGCATTGACTAACCTGGTAGAGTCGACTCAGAAGGGAAATGAGGTTGATCTGGAGAAATATGGGGTTACCGATGAGCTTCGGCAGTTTGTGAAGGGGATTACTCTGCAAACTTTTCAGGATTTCCCGCTTGAAGGTATTATTTATCTGATTATAATTCGACGATATGTAATGGTCAATGTACTGTGTGATTGGCATTGTTAATATTGGTGAATATTCTTTTCGCTCTAGACCGTTCAATATTAAAGTATCTGATGAAACTATTCGCATTTTTGTCTTGTAAAATAGTTCATTAAATCGGTATGCATTACTGAATATTGGTTCCAAATACGGTATTGTAAAGCTCTTTTTGCTGTGAGAACTTAGGTCTCTTAAAATTTGTTTGATTTCTTATGCTTTAGGAAAAGGAGTTTTTCCAAAGCCTAGGCTTCAAAATGAACTGCAAGGAGAACTTTGTTGCTTTAGCTTTCTGGAATCACTTTGTAGGAAGCGAATTCAAATATAATAGTTCTTGAAGTATTCTCCATTTTCTGATGAAGGACTTTTACTACCTGCACGGGAAAAACTAATATTTTCCTCAAGACCTTTTAGAATGCGTCTTTGAAATGCCTCTTAATAGGACTTCTGTTATAGACAACTACCACGTGTACTATGAAGAATTTATGTTATTCTTTCATTTTAGAATGGATGCTATCTTTTGAATGTCATTCTTTGGCTCTTAGGAGGGGTCTTCTAATTTCTAAATCACTTGTTCGGATCTGAAACAGCTTCGTTGGTGAGAATTTTATGTGCATATTTCACTTGAAAAACAACTTTATTTGTTAACCATGTATGCTCCACATGGCAAAAGTTGGTCTTGATTAGGAGAAGGTATAATGTCCCTTCTGTTGAGTAGGATTTGGCTCTTTATGACATTATTTTTTTTCTTTCAGGATGGATCTCAGAGGTACAGGTAGTTGCAATTTAACTTTGTTTGTTTGTCATATTATCTTATCCCCTTGCCTTAGTTTCCTGAAACTCAGATCTAAAATTTTCCTTACTTGATTTATTATTTTCTGTGGTAATCTCAAAACAGAAATTCCTTTTATGTATATAAACTAAGTTGGAAAAATAAATGTAGAAATGATAAGGAAATGCCATTTCTTCATGCAAGCCACGTATTCAGTAATTTGGTATTGCAATGAAAGAATAAGGTCTGGCGAAATGATCAAGAAATGAAAACAAAAGTAAATGGAAGCATCATTAAGAATTATCCAGAAAAGAACCTCCTTTTGCTACAAAGTCTTGAGCTTTCTGGCAGACCCAAGCAGTAATGTGTCAGACCCCAAGTGAGTCCTATTTCACTTTTGTTGAAACTAGTTAGAGTTGAACGTGTTTTGCACGTTATTTTAAAATATAATTGTTACAAAAGTAATATTTCATATCAATTTTTTCGGAGGATTTGATGAGATTCAATCGAACTAAAGAAAATAAAATTTTGGATAAAAATTTAAGAGAAGAAAATCGTGTTCTCAAAACTCAACTTGTATAATTGAAATTTTTTTGTGAAGATGAAATACTACAATACTTTTTTATACTAAATTTAGTACATAAGAATTAATTGATAATACATAAATTTAAGCACACATTAAAATTTTTAGATACATGAATAACAATAAATGCATCTATAATAACTCTTAGGGGTGTCTAAAAGTTCCGAAGCGGACCGAACCGAACCTGAATCGAACCGAACTGAGCGGTTCTTCATAAATTAAATACCCGAACGGGTACCCGAATCGAGAACCGATGAGTTTGGGTCGGGTCTCGGGTCTAGACCAAGAACCGAATAAGAACCGAAACTAAATAATTTTTTTATTTTATATATTGAATTGATTAAATTATT